ATTCAGCGCTGGTCAGTTTTAGCAGCGGCTGAATCGGGGAAGCTGGGGGCAGAGCAGCTCCAATGGTCCGGCTGCCCGGAGCACTTCCGGGTTCCTGATGGTGCCGGACCATCAGGAGTGCCGGACCGTCAGATGCCGGACCATCGGCGTTTTACTGTACTTGGAAGCTAGATGGCCAAGTGTAAAGTAAGATAGAGCAGAGCCATTTGTCTTTAGGTCACTATTTGAAATCCAACCAAAACTGAGAATAAGAACTATTCAACAGCCATTGTGCTGGCCTATGTGAAATGATTTGGTGAACCCAATTCAGATCCTTGTCACAGAAACCATCCTAAGAGTTATCATCCTTAATGACAGTATCAGCAGAAGAACTTCGGACTGAATCTGCATGAAAACTACATTATCTTCTCACTTCTAGATGTGGTTCCTTGAGGCACATTATCATGACAATTTTGGGGAAGTATGCACTTCCTATTCAATCTCCGCCTGTGCTGCGGATCCAGAGTTACCAGTTTTTTACATTTTAAGAGTGCTGCACTTAGCAAGTCATTTTTTTAATATACAAAAAGCATCTATCCACAACTTGATCTAAGAACAAGTAACTTGCATGAAAATTTTATTTGGAAATTAGTTTTTTGCATAATTGTGTTTAAACAGTATGTATTGTATATTTTATAAATAAGTCTACAGTGGACAACAATTTGTTCTTAATGTTATCCAATTTGAATCAAAGCAAATAAAAGCGAGTTATATATTTCATAGAATTCTTATAAGTTAAGGGTATTAAATGTGATTATTTAAATTCACAGACGCCCAGATCAGATTTCTTAAGGCAAAGTTACGTGTTATGCAGGAGGAGCTGGATAGTATAATACGTGAATGTAGTAAAAAGGTAAGAATTGAGTGTCTTTATTCAGTAGAGACTGTTTCTCTTCCATTTAATGCTGTCATTAATTACACTGTATTAGGATGTATAGTAGGATGCTTTTGATGCTATAGCTTCAATTATTAGAGAGTGAGGATTGTACAGAACTAATTTTTCCTCCATTATGAACCCAGTGCCTACCATATTGTTTTTGTGTTTTATACATATTTAATCTTTAGACTAGATATTTAAAAGTATAATTAAAATATTCATGATATTTTAAACCATCATATTCCGTGTTATCCAATTTATAGGCAAGAAGCAATTATCTGGCATTTGTATATCTGGAAAACTTGGTTAACTGGCATTGCCCCCAGCTCACCTGTCCAGCTGGCTGGCTTGATGCCTCCATCTGTTGCAGGGCTTCTGACGGCCTACATTGCCAGCTGCCATTGTTATCAGGCTCCTCTTTCCCCCTCATCCTGCCTCGAGCTGTCGGGAACTGGATCTGCTGGAGGGCTCCTGGGCAGCTGGTTCACTCATCTGCTTGCTGCATAGAACAGCTTACGGGGAAGGGGAGAAGGGTTGACAGGTGTTCTCAAAGGGGAGGAGTTGGTTGCCACTGGGAGGGGCCCTCATCCTCCCATGCGATTGGGACCTCTTGTCTGCCTTTCTCAGTTTTCCTTTCTATCCGAGTCCCTGTTGAAAAGTCAACAAGACAGAGCAAGAGTTATTCAGCTTCTGCAATTGGGCCAAGAGAAGTCTGATTCCCTTACCTGAGATACATGGCAATATGTCCTCCTGTTCCTTCTCGGCCAATTCCTCATCTGATCTCTTAAAAGAATAAGCTGTTCCTTTACCCTAAGCTGCAAGTCCTTTGCTTCCAGGTGTGGCTTGTTAGTTCCAAGGCTTAGAGGCAGAATGAGCTAAAAGATGGGTTGCTACATAGCCACAGTTGACCACTTGATATACTTGCCTACAAAATGGAAATGATTCCAAGTTTGTTATTCTAAACACATACACCCAGTCTCATTTTCCCTTTCTGGTTTTATACTACATTTTAGATCTCGAGAGGTCAAAACTCTCGTTTAGCTCCCTTAAAATACATCATGCAGTGAAAATATCCTTCCATCACCAGGTAGACAAATACTCATTGTTTACTCACCTGTTGATGTGTAGATTCCTGAAGGGCACTGGGAATCTCTTCCCACATGTGGCACCACTTGTTCCAAGCTGAGATCTTAAACTAGTTCCCAGGGCTTTGACTAAATCTCCCTTGGAGTCCAGGGGAACTTGCTTTTTTGTACATGTTCCATAAAGATACACGTATGAGAGATGGTCAGTTTCTAATTGCCATCTCCTCAGCTAGATACCTAGGAAAAATAGCGGTCCTGATGGCACACCCACCATTCATTGCCTTCTTTAAAGACAAAATAACTCTTAAGGCCATATCTCAAATTTCTCCCAAATTTCTCTGTCTCTGCATTTTCCATGTGAATCAACAGATCCATCTCCCTATTTTTTCCAAAACCACTTTGTGACAACAGGGAGACGATTCTGTCTGTGTTCATGTTAGAAGAACACTAGCATGTTACTTGGAAAGGACCGAGGACTTTAGGAAATCCCCAAAACTCTTCCTCTCATCCACAATATATCCCAAAGCTCTATGATATTGGTTCAAAACTATCCAAATGAGTCTCTGGTTGCAGTAATCCCTGTCATCAAGGGCACAGTATGCTTCTGGCCAGAAATCATATGTACTCCATGAGGTCAATTTGTACCTCTTTTCTCACTCCTTAAAGATATTCCTATCTCAGTAATCAGTAGAGCAACGACTTGGACCTCTGCTCACACACTCAGAACACTGAAGATTCGGCCCCCAGTGCTATCTTTGATTCCATAGTATTTTATGTAAAAACAGACTCCACTCCGAAGTCCCAGCCTCCAGGTACTGCTTGAGAGTCCATTGTAGTAGATCATCCATAGGGACACTTTGAAGATGAGGAAGTTACCTTGTATAGTAGTGATGGTTCTTTGAGATTTGTGTCCCTATGTGTGCTCCACAACCTCCCCCTTCTACTTTGAAGCTCTCTATAGGGCTCTGCAGTGGAGAAGGAAGAGGGAGCTTTAACTTGGACAGTGCTAGATAACCTCCAGGCAGATCACAAGGGAGAAAGAGCATATGCATGGGGTCAATAGTCACCACTACCAAAAATCTCTGGTTAGAGGTGCAGGGGTGCGCATGTCTACAGTTCTACAGTGGGGCAGCAATGGAGGGACACATCTGGAATCATTACTGCTTCAGTACTGTTAGTGTGCCACAGGAGGGGCCATGCAGATATTTAGTGCTGTAGATTTGCACCCCAGCTTGCCAAACATTAACTACTTTGGGTATATCCTATATTACTCCTGTGGGAATTCTACATCACTGTATGCACACAGAATTCATGTCTCCCACAGATTTCTTTGATTCCCTTAGAAAAATGACTTTCTGACCGCAAGAACAGTCATGTACCACTCCTTAGCAATGTAGGTATATATTGTTTCAGACACCTGGAGCAGGTGGCAGAGGGGTAAATCACCACAGGGCTGGGAAAACCCCAGCCATTGACTCCTAACGTGAACTGGGATCAGTCATTAGTTCCATCTAGGCTGGAGGCTGGAGAGGACAGGACTTCCTCCTTCCCTGCAAGGAGTGGCTAGACTGTCAGACTCCCTTCCAGAAACCTCCCCTAGCTGCATGAAACTGAGTCCTCCCTTGCTTCCTGCTGCCATCGCTTCTCAGCTGGGGGTAGAAGCGTCAGTGTACAGGGGGCTGCTCTTCCATACATCCACCTCCTGTGTGTGCAGACCTCTTATACCCAGATACTCCTGCCAAACCTCACCCGTACATCTGGAGCTACTTTGCTCCCGGACTCCTTGCCTCTGGATCCCCACTCCTGTACCCAAACCCTCTCCCTCTAGTGAGCTCCTTGCACTCAACCCCTTATCCTGATGATCCCTGCACCATGCTAAGCCCCCGCATCCAGACCTCCACACCACTGATCCCCAGCTAGCTGCACCCATGCTTCCACCCCACCAGGCCCCATTTCACCAGCACCCAGGCCCCCCTTCAAACCCAGAACCCTCCGCCGAGCCCCATCCATCTTTACCTGGAAGCCCCAAAAGAATCCCAATGCCTGTGCACCTGGGAATCCTCCTCCCCCTTCACACACAATGAGCCTCTGTGCATTTAGATCCTATATACTTAGATCTTCTACTGAGCTGCCTGCTCCCACGTTGTGCTATGCAGAGCCCTGTCAACCCCACCTGAATGTTCAACACTGTCCCCTTCACACCTGGATCCTGCCTGGTTGAGCCTGTCTGCTCCACACAGGCTGTTTCTGGGATAGGACCAGGCCTTGTGCTATATCAAGGATGTGTGCAGCCTCACTGCTGAGTCTGTGTCCTGTGGGTGAGGAAGCTGCAGGGTGATCTCTCACCTTTATGCAGCTAGTGGCCTGTGTTCCCCACTGCTATGCTGGAGCCTCTGCATTTATTTACTGATAAATAATATTTACAGAATTTTAAAATAGCATGTAGAATTTATTTTTTGGTGCAGAAAGCCCTCCAAAATATTACACTAAATATGAAGGAAAAATTTAAATATACAAATTGTATACAGGATATCATTAAAGGGGTGGATACTAGTCTAATAGGTCATATTGGAGGTATAACGTCCGTGCCAAATTGGGTAAAGAATGTGAATGAGACCAAACAGCAAAAATTAAGATGTTTGTACACTAATGCGAGGAGCCTAGGTAACAAAAAGGAGGAACTAGAGCTATTGGTCCAGGAAGTGAAACCAGATATTATAGGAATAACAGAAACATGGTGGAATACTAGGCATGACTGGAGTACAGGTATTGAAGGGTATGTGCTGTTTAGGAAAGACAGAAATAAAGGTAAAG